TTGGAATAAGACAATCATAGGTTCAAATCCAGCTAAGCCATTTACAAACTATAAGATTTTTGGACTGATTACATAATATTGCTGAGCTTCAACTTCCATATCTGTAAAGTGGAGGTAATAATACCAACTCTGCAGAGATTTTAAGAGGGACAGATGTAATTTGTAATGTAATCAGCACTTTGTAGACTCTCACTATCATCATGGTTGTGTTTTTGCCAATCTTGCTGTTGGCTGTCTCAAAATGTTCATTGTATGAAAGCACCCTGAACCTCAAATGGGTTTATAGACTTTGAAATTGAATGTAGTTATCTGACAGTTCTTTTAAAAAATAGTTGAGATATAATTGACTTATTATATTAGTTTCAGATGTACAACATAATGATTTGATATCTGTATGTATTGTGAAATGATCACCACAATAAGTCTAGTTAACATCCATCACTATACATAGTTACAGAATTTTTTTCTTGTAATGAGAACTTTTAAGATCTACTGTCATGGGACTTCCCTGGCAGTCCAGTGGTTAAGACTTCACCTTCTAAGGCGGGGGGTGTGGGTTCAATCCCTGGTCGGGGAGCTAAGATCCCATATGCCTCACAGCCAAAACCAAAACATAAAACAGAAGCAATATTGTAACAAATTCAATAAAGACTTTAAAGATGGTCCACATCAAAAAAAAAAATCTGTTGTAGCAACTTTCAAATATACGATACAGTATTGCCAACTATCGTCACCATGTTGATAGCTCTTAATCTCATTTTGGGCAAGGTACATAATCCAAAAAGAAAGGATAGTATTATTTATTAGGCTGAAATTGCCAATATTTGACTGTTTTAGACTTATGAAAAGAGCAGTTTTGTATGATTCAACGTAAAAGTGTATTGCTCTCCCTAGAATTTACTACTCCTTTGCTCATCCTTTAAAGACCAATCCCACACTCTGCATAGTTTGTGGCACAGTATGAGTATCAACATACATTAATTGAGTGAATGTATGAATGAATGAATGAATGAGTGAAAGTAAGGTCAGCCCTGGGAAAAATCACATAGTGATACATTTTTATACAAGTGAAATCAGATAAAACAGCATCCAGGACACAGCCTTGAGCGGGAACTGAATTGCCAAAGGATAGCCGAGGTAGGGGGGGTGTTTGTGTGTGTAATGGGAGCCTGCTAGAGAGTGGAACAGCCATTCCATTGCTTTTGCTTCGGTCATATGAGACAGGATGTTGGGAGGCAGGGATAATTTAACATCAACGGGCAGGGGCAGTGTCTCTTCCTTTGTTTTCTCCCTCCTACCTTGTCTCCAGCCACTGCTATAGTCAGCAGTAATTACTTGGATTTATTTCCAGTCATTCTACTCCAAACAGTAGCTCCGACTTTGAAGATAAGACACCACAAATTACTTAAGTGGCATCACTTTATATTCTAAGAGTCCTTTGATTCAGCATGGAATATTCATAGCGTTGTTTGAGAATTCCAGGACTCCATTAAATGCTGTATTCAAATGAGGCACCACTAATGAGAAACTGTATATTTCTAGGAAGTGCCCTCTTAGTGAAGACCAGTTATTCACAGCTGCTGCATTTTAAAAGTTTAGGGCTGATAACCCAGGCAATGAAGGAAATGGTTTGATGGTTCTCCTTAAGAGCACGGGATAATCTTTGTGAATTTTCTGCAGCCCGTAGTCTCGCTGCACCCAGAATTGCTCAGATTTGGGAGGGTTGATTCACCTCATGTAAGACTTCATTATACTGATATATTTAAACAAAGGCGGGATAGTCTTTTCTAATGACTAGAAGAAGGCTTATATCCCTTTTTCAGGGTCTCCCCTTCTGCTAAATTAGTAACCAGAAAGGGCTTCATAGAATCAGAGCAATCATGGAGATTTTGGGTTTTGAGGTATATTTCATCAAGGCCGTGGTGAAGTTTGAGGTCCATAAAGTTGCCCTCTTATAGAGTATAGCTGACGCTTGAACAGCATGGATTTGAAATGTGTGGGTCCACTTATATGTGGACTTTTTTTCAATGGTAAATACTATAGTACTACACTATTCGTGGTTGGTTGAATCCACCAATGCGGAACCTTGGATGGGGAGGAACCACATATATGGACGGAAGTTATGTGAGTGGATTTCTGACTGTGTGGAGAGCCAGCACCCCTAAAGCCCACATTTTTCAAGGTCAACTGTATATTGCTCCAGCAACAGAAAACTTCATCATTTCCTCCCACGGATCATACTGGATGAACACTGCCAACTTTTGTCTTCTTTAACCATCAATGTTTTACATTCTGTGGTGACCTCTCTTTTCTGTTCCCAAAATCTCCTTCCATTTAGGATACAATTAGTTGAATAGATTCATGCAGCTAAATGGCAATGTTGATTTTCCAGATCCAACTCTCTTGAGTTTATTCCCAGGCTTCCTTGGATGGAGTTTGGAGAGAATTCAAGTTCTTCAATTACCCTTTTACCAGTACATTCTTGATTTACTCCCACAGTTAACTAGGATAGCCTCTGTGCACAGATTTTGCTGGTTGAACTCTCAATTGAACTTATTTCTGAGTTCCTGGGAGGCACCTCACATTTGTTCGCACTTACTACCAACAAGCAGTCACATGTGGTGGTTCTCTGCTGTGTGAGGGGAAGTGGAAAAGGCACTGGAGGACAAACAGGCATTATCATCATCCTAGCAACGCTTGTTGGCTTTCCCCAGTCGTCAGCTCTTTCCTCTCCATGGACACTCTGTGCTCTCCTTGTACTACTGTAATTACAACACTTACCAGGTGATATTTTCTATTACTGTCCATGCTTCTGTCTCTGCAAGTAGATCACTGGTCCTCAAGCCTTTTATCTTCTGCAATTTTTCCAGCTTTGTCTCTGGGTATAACTTAGTACTGTTGCTTTTTCTTTTTTCCTTTAAATTTATTTATTTATTTATTTTTGGCTGCGTTGGGTCTTTGTTGCTGCATGTGCGCTTTCTCTAGTTGCGGTGAGCGGGGGCTACTCTTCCTTGTGGTGCGCGGGCTTCTCATTGCGGTGGCTTCTCTTGTTGTGGAGCATGGGCTCTAGGTGCGTGGGCTTCAGTAGTTGTGGCACATGGGCTTCAGGAGTTGTGGTGTGTAGGCTCAATAGTTGTGGCTCACGGGCTCTAGAGCGCAGGCTCAGTAGTTGTGGCGCATGGGCTTAGTTGCTCTGTGGCACATGGGATCTTCCCGGACCAGGGCTCGGACCCGTGTCCCCTGCATTGGCAGGTGGATTCCTAACCACTGAGTCACCAAGGAAACCCTGTTGCTTTTTCTTAAGGCCTAAAAAAAATTCACAAATAATAGGTGAGTGTTCTCACTATAAAGGAAGCAAGCAATAGCTACAATTAATTAAAATATTTTATATACATAAAATATTCAATATTTAATATTGATAAGATTTTTAAATGCAAAATCCTGTATTGGAATAACAGTTTGAGCTTTAGCACCTGTAATTATTTATTCAATTACTGAGAATGTCAGCCTACATGGTTGGGCCTCCCTACCTTTCCAGTATGCTTTTAGAACTTGTAAAGGCATGTCTTTTGGCTAAGAATTAGAGAAAATTAAGACAACATTGTGAATAGTTAGACGTTAAAAATACTATTACTGGGAATTCCCTGGCGGTCCAGTGGTTAGGACTCTGCACTTCCATTGCAGGGGGCACGGGTTCGATCCCTACTTGGGGAACTAAGGTCCCACATGCCGCGTGGCCAAAAAAAAAATGCTATTACCGTTATAATTAATTTTCAAAGAACACATTTATTCTTCACTGAAAAACTTAAAAAAATTTCCCTTTAAGTTTTATACTCATTTCAATCAAAATGGTTATTTTTGGAGAGATTAGCTATAGCTCTTGAATAACGGGCATTAACTATTGCTGTTATGTAACTAGTCTCTTATTGTTTCATGATGGTATTTTTATTATTATGGATCCAAGTTCTCATTCTGCTTTATTTTGCCTTAGGCATTTTCAATTAGGTATTTCACTTGGTTTGTGTATGAGAAAATGTTATCCCTGTGGTTTTGTCCGGAAATGCTGCATGGGATTTTTTCTAAAATGATTTATTTTGTTGAGCACTCTCCTTTTTCCCCCCCTATGATGATATGTCAGCTGAAAATGTAGCATTTATTTCTTCCTGAAAGGGAGGTATTGCTTTTACATTTGCTATATCCTGAGACTATCTCACCATCTCATCTGGGATGAGATGAGGAGCCAGTGCCAATAGTCTTTTATTCTAATTATTCCACGAACAGTAGTGAATGTCTACCATATACCAGGCACTGCCTTCAACACTAAGGCTTCATAGAGGCATTAGAGAAGCTCCACTCTTCAGAAGCTCCCTATCTGTAGAGAAGCCAACAGATAAACTACTAAATGCCATTCTGTGTGCCGTGTGCCACAGTACAGATGGCATGGAGGGTGGGTGGGACACGGGAGGACTGGCTGGCCGAGTCCATCTGGGAGTTGAGGGAAGGCATTTAGAGGTTAGCCTTGAGCTGAGTCTGGAAGGATGGATTAATTTTCAGGAATAAGGAAGAAATGACATTCTAGGCAGAAGGAGCCACATGGACAAAGTGTGGAGATGCGAAATCGCAGGGTGCTTTTGGGAAATTATGAGATGTCCCATTTGGCTGGAGTGCTCAGGAACTGAAGTGGAAACTGGAGGACTGTACTCTTTCTGGAGTATATTCTTGGTGGCTGGTGCACTTCCTGTATTATGTAGTAGAATGACTTGTGGACGAAATAAAATGTTGACTGGGGTTAATGGAGTAATTATGAAGGGATCTGGGTGATGATAACCAAATAAATAAATAAAACAAAATAAAATAAAATATAATATAAAATATATAAAATAAAATACCTTTCCTCAAAATTCCCAGAATCTGTTTGTCACTGGAAATAGAGTTGTTGAAAAGAGATAGGAAGCAAACTCATTCTTGACTGATGATATTTTCAGTTTTCTTCCCAGCCTCCCTGCATTAACTTGGGGACAATGTGGGGCTGGACACTGTGGATGCTCCCTCTACTCTGCAAATTTGGCCTGGCAGGTAGGTCAGCCTGTGCCCTTTTATGGATTATGTGATTCTTTTTGCATTCTTTGGATAAGAATTGTTAACTTGAGAACAAAGGGACGACACCTGGATATAGGCACACATGGATGGACACTGGGGGATTTGTGGGCTCCCTGAATTTGCGTGGGTGTCTGTATGCATGTTTATATATATTTATGCATGTGCAGATTTTGCAAGATCATATTTTCAAGGGGAGCTACAACCCTCCAAAAGATCAAGATTTGGGCTTCCCTGGTGGCGCAGTGGTTGAGAGTCCGTCTGCCGATGCAGGGGACGCATGTTCGTGCCCTGGTCCGGGAAGATCCCAAGTGCCGCGGAGCGGCTGGGCCCATGGCCGCTGGGCCTGTCCGTCTGGAACCTGTGCTCCGCAACGGAAGAGGCCACAGCAGTGAGAGGCCTGCGTACTGCACCGCCCCCCCCCAAAAAGATCAAGATTCACTGTTTTAGAGTAATGGTTGGTGCTTGCCTTGATAATTTCTGTGTTAAGTGCATTGGTTTCATATAAGACGCACACATAAAAAAATACCATTTTCACACCATTTGCCGTAAATTTCAAGGATAGAAAGGAAAATGAAACGCCATATACCTACAATGGTCCAACTCAAAACTATGGGCCTAATACCCATACAACACCTTGCAGGTCTAAGATGTATTACTTTGATCACATATTATGGTAAAAAAAAATTAAGACCAGATTAAAAAAAGTGGCAATTGGGGGAAAATTAAGACCAGATTAAAAAAAGTGGGGATTGGGCACTGGGGAAGTAGAGAAGACATGTAGTATACATACTAGTCTGCTGAGGCTGCCATAACAAAATACCACAGACTGGGTGGCCTGAGCAACAGAAGTTTATTTTCTCACAGTTGTGGAGACTGGAAGTCCAAGGTCAGGGTGCCTACAGAGTTGATTTTCTCTGACACCTCTCTCCTTGGCTTGTGGATAACCATCCTCTTGCTGCCTCTTCACATGGTCATCCGTCTCTGTATCTTAATCTCCTCTTATAAGGACACCAGTCAGATTGAATTAGGGCCCACTTTAATGGCCTCATTTTAATTAATACCTCCTTAAATGCCCTATTTCCAAATGTAGTCACCTTCTGAGGTACTGGCAGAGAGATGTGAGTTTTGAGGGGAGGGACATAATTCAGCCCATAACATGTAATTGGGGGTCACCCAGAAGGCAGTTGTGATCTGGAGATAATGTCTTCCAGACCTCTGTCCTGGCCTGGCTTGCCCTGCAGCTCCCTGGAGTTACACATGTGGCACTCCAGAGCTTTGTAGATAATCCAGGCAGGTAGGCCTGTGTCTCTCTGTCTCATTCAGCCTCTTTTGGCCACCTCAGAAATCAACAGTTGCTCCCAGTTAATCCAATTTAAAGTTCTGGTGATGAGGATCATGACACCTTTCCCCTCGACTTGTCTTTTTCGATCTTAGATCTTTGTCTTCACTTACCATGTTTCACTTAATAATTTCCTACATAACTGACTCCAATTTCCACACTACTTCCCTTCTAGACTATTCTTCGCTTGGTCTCAGCCTTGCCCTTGTTTTATTTCAAGACATTTTTCAGAACAAACACTAACTTTACAACAGTACCAAAGTGATAACGAGCATAGCAGGAAGAAGGGAGATCAAGAACAGCTTTTTAATTTTGAAAAATATTCCTTTTGCATGTGGGAAATTCTCTGATAAGCAAGAACATTCTCCTTATCTTTCTTACAGGAAAGTTATGACTGTTTCTCCTTATTTCTAAAAATAAGGGAAATAGTTATTTCTAGAAATGTAGAAATATGGTTATATGTTTTTTCTTAAGAAGGGGGAGAAGGATAGATGTGTGAGAGGGGCAAATCTAGACTTCAGTTGTCCATGTTTAAAAAACAAACATTCTGTTTTAATTTTAAATTTACACAAATATTGTGAACATAGTGTAGAGAATTCTTATATACTCCTCATCCAGTTTCCCTCATTGTTACTATTTTATAATACCATAGTGTATTTGACAAAACTAAGAAACTGATACTAGCACACGACTATCAAGTAAATTCCAGACTTTATTTGGATTTCACTAGTTTTTCCTTAATGTTCTCTTTCTGTTCTGGGATCTAATTCAGGGTAGCATACTGCATTGAACTGTCATGTCTCCTTAGTCACTTCTGGTCGGTGACAGTTTTTTAGTTTTCCCTTATTTCTCATGACCTTGGCAGTCTTGAGGAGTACTGCCAGTACTCCTGTTTTTGTTTTTTTTTATTGTTTTTTTTCTGCTGTGCGCGGGCCTCTCACTGTTGTGGCCTCTCCCGTTGCGGAGCACAGGCTCCGGACGCACAGGCTCAGCGGCCATGGCTCACGGGGCCAGCCGCTCCGCGGTATGTGGGATCTTTCCGGACCAGGGCACGAACCCGTGTCCCCTGCATCGGCAGGCGGACTCTCAACCACTGCGCCACCAGGGAAGCCCCCTGTTTTTTTTTTTTAACATCTTTATTGGAGTATAATTGCTTTACAATTATTGTTGTGTTAGTTTCTGCTGTATAACAAAGTGAATCAGCTATATGTATACATATGTCCCCATATCCCCTCCCTCTTGCATCTCCCACCCACCCTCCCTATATCACCCCTCTGGGTGGTAACAAAGCACCGAGCTGATCTGCCTGTGCAATGAAGCTGCTTCCCACTAGCTATCTGTTTTACATTTGGTAGTGTATACATGTCAGTGCTACTCTCACTTCGTCCCAGCTTACCCTTCCCCTTCCCTGTGTCCTCAAGTCCATTCTCTACGTCTGCGTCTTTATTCCTGTCCTGCCCCTAGGTTCTTCAGAACCTTTTTTTTCTTTTTTTTAAGATTCCATATATATGCATTGGCATATAACATTTGTTTTTCTCTTTCTGACTTACTTCACTCTGTATGACAGACTCTAGGTCCATCCACCTCACTACAAATAACTCAGTTTCATTTCTTTTTATGGCTGAGTAACATTCCATTACTCAGATATGTGCCACATCTTCTTTATCCATTCATCTGTCGATGGACACTTAGGTTGCTTCCATGTCCTGGCTATTGTAAATAGAGCTGCAATGAACATTGTGGTACATGACTCTTTTTGAATTATGGTTTTCTCGGAGTATATGCCCAGTAGTGGGATTGCTGGGTCATTTGGTAGTTCTATTTTTAGTTTCTTAAGGAACCTCCATACTGTTCTCCATAGTGGCTGTATCAATTTACATTCCCACCAACAGTGCAAGAGGGTTCCCTTTTCTCCACACTCTCTCCAGCTTTTATTGTTTGTAGATTTTTTGATGATGGCCATTCTGATGGGTGTGAGGTGATACCTCATTGTAGTTTTGATTTGCATTTCTCTAATGATTAGTGATGTTGAGCAGCTTTTCATGTGTTTGTTGGCAATCTGTATCTCTTCTTTGGAGAAATGTCTATTTAGGTCTTCTGACCATTTTTGGATTGGGCTTTTTGTTTTTTTGATATTGAGCTGCATGAGCTGCTTGTATATTTTGGAGTTGAATCCTTGTCAGTTGCTTCGTTAGCAAATATTTTCTCCCATTCTGAGTCGTCTTGTTTATGGTTTTCTTTGCTGTGCAAAAGCTTTTAAGTTTCATTAGGTCCCATTTGTTTACTTTTGTTTTTATTTCCCTTTCTCTAGAAGGGGGGTCAAAAAGGATCTTGCTGTGATTTATGTCGTAGAGTGTTCTGCCTATGTTTTCCTCTAAGACTTTTATAGTGTCTGGCCTTGCATTTAGGTCTTTAATCCATTTTGAGTTTATTTTTGTGTATGGTGTTATGTTTTTTGTTTCTTTTTTTTTGCGGTACGCGGGCCTCTCACTGTTGTGGCCTCTCCCGTTGTGGAGCAACAGGCTCCGGACGCGCAGGCTCAGTGGCCATGGCTCACGGGCCCAGCCGCTCCGCGGCATGTGGGATCTTCCCGGACCGGGACACAAACCCGTGTCCCCTGCATCGGCAGGCGGACTCTCAACCACTGCGCCACCAGGGAAGCCCCAGGACCATCTTTGATGTTCATTTAAACATACTTCCTGTGGATTCCAATTTTGTAGGCTCAGGTGTGTTGTAGGTGGTGAGGAGTAGATGAAGGGAAGAGCCATACGCTGTGGTCTTCTGAGCCCCACCCCTTCATGCCCTCCTTCCCTGCTTCCCCACACCTCCGATAGTCCTCTCTTCTGTGTGTTCAGAACATTGCCAATAAGGGAGCTCTCTGATTTGATTAAATCCCAGGTAAGGGATTTGAAGCCACATGTTCAACTTTTCTATTAAAGGAACCCTGCGGACTGTTTCCCCACCTGCGTTTTTTGCTAGGCCTGCAGAAAACGTAGTCATTTACATATTGGTCCACACCTAGGTACTTTGGATGGATGTGTCTTTCTGCTACAGACAATTCTTTCTACCTTGAGAATAGGACTCCGTAGCCAGGTTGTATAGCGCCAGCCTAGACAACTGAAATTTGAAACCATCACCCTGGTATGATTTTAGCGTCACCATCTTCCAGCTTCCCAGCCACAGAATTACAGGTGCCTGAAATTCTACCTTTAGAGATTCATTCTTTGTCTCAGGCTTGCTTTCCTTTGGACTTGCAGAGACACCAGAGCTACCCTGTAAGTCGTCTTAGTCATCAACCTTCTAGTAAGATTCTTTGCTGGAAATAGGTAAAATTGGGGAAGATAACAAAATGTGAAGAAGGCAGTTCATCAAATATTGAGGGTAAGGAAAAGGGACACAATAAAAGCAGTAAAAACAGTATCATAGGGGAAGGCTGCAGTGGGGATCCTGAACTTTGACCTTCTTTACACTTTGGGCAATGAATGGTTGTAAATGTTGTTGGTGCACTTGGAGGATGAGTTGGGTGTTGTGAAGCAGTCCTCTTTTCTCCTTTCAGCATTTCAGTGCATTGAGGCCATGCAGACCTGCTTCACTCAGGACCAGCTGGTGGTGGAGTGGCAAAGCTCTGCTCTGGAGGTGGATACATGGATGATTGAGTGGGTCCCAGATTTGGACTCAGAGTCCTCGACCATTTCCTGGGAATCTGTATCTCAGACCAGGAACTGGACAATCCAGCAGGGTAGCCAGTGCAGAGCCCACAAATTCCCTCTGTGTAGGATTCCGTTTCATTTTCATCAGTTTTTAAATCCTTAACTTTGGCTTCAAAACTGTAAGTGTGAGTAATAGAATTTGACAAGCTAGGGCAAGCTTAAGGAAGTGTACTTCTTGGCATTTCCCAGCAATACTAGAATAGGAAGCCATAGGTATCAGACCAGGCATCTGGCGTGTTTCCAGGTGGAAAACACCATCTTGACACCCACCATCAGAGAGCTCTTCCCAGATATCTTGATCACGTGGATAACACCAGAGTTTGTATCCCATCTGTCCTACCCAGGGCACCTCCTTCAGTTCTGGTTGCCTGTTTAAGATCTAGGCCCCTTCCCCAGGTGATTGATACAGGGAATAGCCTTCTTTTCAAGAAAGCCCCTGCTCCATGTAAGACACATAAGTGAGGCTTTACTCTCCAACCATTTCTTAATACTTAGTAGCATCCACATGAAGAGTTATGCTTATGTAGGGATGCAGACAGAAGAGGTACAATTTATGGTACCTGAGTTCTCTAGGGTGATATGCTATTGAAAGAAGGGTTAAGTTTATTCTGTAGTTGCCCCCAAATCATGTAACAAAATCAGTGATGGAGGAGAGACTGGAGCTCTTACTTCTCCTTTCCTGGGTGGCTCTGTCATTTTGTCAGAGTGGTGCAGGTTTAGTTCTAATAATTAATTTTAAAATGTTAGAAATGGAATAGACATTAGAGACCATCCAACCTAACTTCCTTATTTTCCATATGTGGAAACTATAGAAAAATAAAATATCTTCTGTAAGTCATAGGACATAAGTCTTAGTCTAGCTTTCCTTCTTCTATGCCATGCTCTGCACCTAATGCTTGTTTCTCTCTCTTCCCACTCTCTCTGTCCCCCTCTCTCTCTCTTTCTCCCTCTCCTTTCCTCTCCATCTCCCTCCCTCCCCAACCTTCCCTCTCTCTCTTTCCCCCCTCCCCTTTTTCCACAGATGAACTAAAACCTTTCCAGTGCTGTAACATCTCTGTGTATCCAATGTTGCAAGACCGAGTGGGTGAGCCATATTCTATCCAGGCTTATGGCAAAGAAGGTGGTATGTATGGACAAGTTTCTGTTGAGGAAAGGAAACACTGGGGCCTGTCCAACATTTACACAAGGCTGTGAAGGCCTGTAGCTTGTTCACAGTTGCTTTAGTGCCCATCCGTGCTGCACCTTAGCTCATAGTAAGCTATGTATGTTTGACCCAGTTGTGGTCACGGTATGGATTCACTGAATTTTTTTTTTTGGCTGCGCTGTGTGGCATGTGGGATCTTAGTTCCCCGACCAGGGATCGAACCTGCACCCCCTGCATTGGAAGCGTGGAGTCTCAACTACTGGACCACCAGGGAAGTCCCTGGATTCACTGAATTTTAAAGCTGGAGTAGACATTAGAGATCCTCAAGTCCAAGCCCTTCATCTCACAAATGGAAAATTGAGGCTCAGAGAGGTGAAATAACTTGCCCAAAGTCACAAAGAAACTCAGTGCAGATAGCGCTGTAAGCAGAAACAACATTTAGCTAAGACCAAGTTAGGAACCCTAAGAGTTATTCGTAACTTGGAGATGCTAAAACATTATTTATTTTTAATTGTGTAGTGATAAGCCAGGGTTTTATTGGCAAACCACTCAGACTGTATCTTTTTGAAAGTTAACATCTTCCAGATTCAACCTTAGGAAATATATCCTGTCACTCAGAGGTAGCCCATGGAGGCATACTCTTTAATTGTTTGATAATAGCTATTACAGGTATGAATGAAAGAGCTGGGCTCCAAGTCAGAGTGAGAGGTCTTGTTCTCTGGTCTTGGACACTGCTTCCCTTCCTGTTCAAGATGGATGATTCTAGACAACAATTTTCTCAAACAAACTGATTCATCAGTTCCCTACTCTGCCCCCACCTCCCACCCCCAGCACTGATTAGTCTGAGGACTGGCCAGAGATTTTGTGGGGCAAGGATCTGCTGGGGTGTAATTCGGTGTTTATTATTTATCTCCCTGTCCTATAAAGGTCCATCAGCAGGTCCCATGACAAAGGCGGAGAACATTGGTGTGGAGACAGTCACAATTACATGGAAGGAGTCCCAAGAGTCAGAGGAACGGTTTCATCAACAACTGTACCATATTTTACCAAGCTGAAGATGGAAAGGAATTCTGTAAGTGAGCTTATAGACAAGTTGAAAGAACCCCGAGCCCCAGATAGATGCTATGGATAGACCTGCTATAGGGGTGACTCCCATGGCTGGTGCCCTGCCACCTTGCAGGAATCACTCAGCTTCTTTGAGCTTCTCTGAAAATGGGGCCAAGGGCACCCACCTCTTGAGTTTTTTAGAGTCAGGTGAGAGTGAAATGACTGTACCTGAGAGTCCGGTAGGAACCAGAGGGCTTGATATAATTTGTGCCTATCAGGCCGTGAACAGGTGGGCCTTCTGGGAGCTTCCTGACCTCTATTCCAGCGTGGGGCATAACCTGGATTAAAGGCTGGAGGGGGACAGGCACTTACTTCAGTGCAGGACCCTTTACCATGACTCCTACTGTCCACTGCTTTTTTTCTTGCATCTACAATATTGCCTAACATCCTGAGTTCTGGGCTGGGCTTGGATTCCCATTTAGGCTAATTTGTTGTTGTTGTTGTTACAGTAAATTACATATAATACAAAACTTACCACTTTAAATATTTGAAAGTGTACAATTTAGTGGCATTAAGTACATCCATAATGTTGTGCAACCATTACCACTACCTATTTCTGCCCCAGATAGAAACCCTGTACCCATTCAGTCACTACCTTACCCTTGTCCCACAGTCCCTGGCGACCACAACATTGCTTTCTGTCTCTATGGATTTACCTATTCTGGATATTTCATATAAACAGAATCATACAATATGGGGCCTTTTTTTGCCTGGCTTCTTTCACTTAGCATAATGTGTTCAAAGTTCATCCATGTCATAGCATGTATTAGCACCGCATTCCTTTTCATGGCTAAATAATTTTCTATTATATGGATAAACATTTTGTTTATCCATTCATCAGTTGATGGGACATTTGTGTTGTTTTCATCTTTTAGCCAGTGTGATTAATGCTGCTATGAACATTGGTGTACAACTATCTGTTTGAATCTCTGCTTTTTATTCTTTGGGGTGTATTACTAGGAGTAGAATTGCTGGGTCATATGGTAATTCTAGTTTAACTTATTTAGGAACCACCAAACTCTTTTCATAGCAGCTACACCAATTTACATTTCTACCAGCAATATATATGAGAATTCTAATTTCTCCATATCCTTACCAACACTTGATATTTTCCATTTTAAAAAAAAGTGTGGCTATCCTAGTGGGTGTAAAGTGCTATTTCAATGTGGTTTTGATTTGTACTTCCTTAATAACTAATGATGTAGAGCATCATTGTACTTGCTCTTTGGCCATTTGTGTATCTTCTTTGGAGAAAGTCTTTTCAGACTCTTTGCCATTTTTTTTATTTTTATTTTTTTTGCGGTATGCGGGCCTCTCACTGCTGTGGCCTCTCCCGTTGCGGAGCACAGGCTCCGGACGCGCAGGCCCAGCGGCCATGGCTCATGGGCCCAACTGTTCCGTGGCATGTGGGATCCTCCCGGACCGGGGCACGAACCCGTGTCCCCTGCATCGGCAGGTGGACTCTCAACCACTGCGCCACCAGGGAAGCCCTGCCATTTTTAAATTGGGTTGTTTGTCTTCCGGTGTTGAGCTGTTAGAGTTCTGTGGGGTTTTTTTTAACATATTCTGGATACAGATTCCTTATCAAATATATGATTTGCAAATATTTTCCCATTCTGTAAGTTGTTTCTTCACGCTCTTGATAGTGTCTTTTGATGAAGTTCAGTTTAACCTTTTTGCTGCTTGTGTGTTTGGTGTCATATTTAAGAAATCATTGCCAAATTCAAGGACATATAGATTTATCCTATGTTTTCTAAGCGTCGTATAGATTTAACTCTTATATTTAGGTCTTTGATCCATCTTGATAGGCTAATTTTAATCAGAACATGAATAGAGAGATTGGGGTATGAGGTGGCCAAGTTTGGAAGCCCAGGTTCGAATGCTTTTATATCAGTGCCACTAAAGCACAGTTTTCACTTGGGTTTGGCTGTGGTGTTTGACTTTTATATTTTTCCTTTAGCCAAGACAGTCAACTCCAGCATCTTGCAGTATAGCCTGGAGTCCCTGACACGAAAGACCTCTTACACTGTTCAGGTCATGGCCAGCACCAGTGCTGGGGGAACTAGTGGCACCAGGATAAACTTCAAGACATTGTCAATTAGTGAGGACTCCTTCAGTCCCTGGGAATGTCTCCTTGGCATTTCCTTTAGGCTAGTCACAGATGATGTTTCCCAAAGGCAGGGGGAGGGCAAGTGAAAGGGAGAAGTTAGAAGAACCATTTGCTCTCTGACTCATTGGCCTTCCTGGAAAGCATATGGGTGAGGAGGGAGGAGGGAGAGCAGGAAAATTGAGAGCTGAATTTGGAAAGATGGGTCATTTTGCTTCTTCCTGGGTAGCCCCGAATCTTCTTAGGGAGGAGGGATCAAGTGAATGCCAACTTCACTGTCACTCCAAACCAGCTCCCACCTCAAGGCTATCCCCAAGTTCATAGTCACCAGTCCCTGTGTGTCAAACAAGGGAAAGCCTTGGTTGATCAAGCACCATTGGTCCACTTAACCCCATTGTTTGTGGAGTTTTTTGAGTAAAAAAGTGTATAATATGTTCTACTAATCAGCTTTTATATTAAAAAATGAGAGCCAGAGGGCTTCCCTGGTGGCGCAGTGGTTGAGAGTCCGCCTGCCGATGCAGGGGACACGGGTTCGTGCCCCGGTCTGGGAAGATCCCACATGCCGCAGAGCGGCTGGGCCCGTGAGCCATGGCCACTGAGCCTGCACGTCCAGAGCCTGTGCTCCGCAACGGGAGAGGCCACAACAGCGAGAGGCCCATGTACCCCAAAAAAAAAAAAAAAAAAAAAAATGGGAGCAAGAAAAATTTAATAAATACAACAATAATGTAAAATATAATGTGATTCATACGATGGTTATGGGGAATATTCAAGAGGGAAAGAAGACAGGCTGAAGAGGGAGATGAGGAAGAAAGAAGGAAGGAGAATGGGAGAAAACAGAGAAATAGAATGGGAGAAACAGAAATCTCTGTCTTTGAATGACAGAGGTTTGATTTTAAGGATATACTAACACTTTAAAAAAAATGAAGCTTAAAAGTGAAGGAACATTGCAAAATTTTCAATAAAAGCTATAAATAGTCTAAGTATTCTTGAAATTCTCCTGTTCATCATCAGGCATCCAAAAGAATAAAAATAGCTTATGGTTCTGGAAAATGTGAGTAAAACATGTGTTTTTACACAGAAAACATGTTCTGTTTTTATTGACTAACATTGTCTTTTGGGAGTTCTTTTTGATATTGCTCTTTAAAGTCTTTTAAAATCATGTTATATTTTCACAACACTAGGCACAAATTGCATTATCTGATGGAATTTTCTCTACGGGTCAGATTGAAGGCAAGAGCCTGCCTTGGAGACTAGAAGTTTCTTACCCTTGGTTCTTTTGTTTGTTTGCTTTTCATTTTTTTATTGGAGTATAATTGCTTTACAATGTTGTGTTAGTTTCTGCTGTACAATGAAGTGAACCAACTATATATATACCTATTTCCCCTCCCTCTTGGACCTCCCTCCAACCCCACCCCCCCAATCCCACCCATCTAGGTCGTCACAGAGCACCGAGCTGAGCTTCCTGTGCATGTTCCTGCTAGCTATCTGTTTTACACATGGTAGTGTATATGTGTCAGTCCTAATCTCCCAGTTAGTCCCACCCTCCCCTTCCCGCCCTGTGTCCATATGTCCATTCTCTACATCTGCATCTCTATTCCTGCCCTGCAAATAGGTTCATCTGTACCATTTTTCTAGATTTCACATCTATGCATTAATATGCGATATTTGTTTTTCTTTTTCTGGCTTACTTCACTTTGTATGACAGACTCTAGGTCCATCCACCTCACTACAAATACCCAATAAAACCTTCCTATAGGAGTTCACTGTGGTTTAAGCGGGTGTGCTTAATTGTTCTGGAATTTCTGATCAATTGAAATTAAAAAATCTTGTTGTAATAATAGTGGTTTTGCCACTCCCGGTTGTTTGAGATGGATCTGTCCCGTGTTTGGTTGGGGTCTGATTCAGTGTGTGTTGCCACCGGCTGCTCACAGGTAAAGCAGAAATTCTCTTTTACCAGCAAGTTTCTGCTTTTTATTTTTAGAATAAATCATCAGGGAAATGAAGAGAGGATGCTTTTGCTTTGGGTTGTGGTCAAGGACTGATTAAATAATTTAGTGTCCCCGGCACACACTAAAAATCACACACTTCGGTTGTGATCTCAGTGGCATATTTGTTTGCTTATGTTTTATTGCAGATGTTCAGTAGTTCATTACTTTCTCTTATTTTTTTTCTGAAAATTTAATTTGCGGTTGTAACTACAGTGTTTGAGAACTCAGCATCCTTGTTTTCTACAAATACTGATTAAAACAAAATGCTGTAAAATGTAAAACATTGTAATTACCTTCCCATGTCTTTGTTGTATTTGTGCTGAAATGTTTTCACATTCCTTTGTCTGGAAGAAATTCTTTGCTTTCGTTTTGATTATGTTGCTTACCTTGAAATCAATAGGTTTTGATATTTTCTCTTGGAAGATTTTATATATTTGGGGAATATGTAATATATCTAATAAAAGATAAATATTATCATGTAAACAACAACAACAAAAACCCTCATACCTTTTTATGGCTGAGTGACATTCCATTGTATATATGTACCACATCTTTATCCTTTCATCTGTTGTTGGACATTTAGGTTGTTTCCATGTTCTGGCTATTGTAAATAGAGCTGCAATGAACATTGAGGTACATGTGTCCTTTTGCATTATGGTTTCCTCAGGGTATAGTGGGATTGCTGGGTCATATACTAGTTCTATTTTTAGTTTTTTAAGGAACCTCCATACTGTTTTCCATAGTAGTTGTATCAATTTATGTTCCCAGCAACAGTGCAAGAGGGTTCCCTTTTCTCCACACCCTCTCCAGCATTTACTGTTTGTAGATTTTTTGATGATGGCCATTCTGACCAGTGTGACGTGACACCTCATTGCAGTTTTGATTTGCATTTCTCTAATAATTAGTGATGTTGAGCAGCTTTTCATGCGCCTCTTGGCCATCTGTATGTCTTCTTTGGTGAAATATCTATTTAGGTCTTCCACCCATTTTTTAATTGGGTTGTTTGTTTTTTTGATATTGAGCTCCATGAGCTGTTTATATATTTTGGAGATGAATCCTTTGTCTGTTGCTTCGTTTGCACATATTTTCTCCCATTCTGAAGGTTCTGTCTTTTCATCTTATTTATGGTTTCCTTTGCTGTGCAAAAGCTTTTAAGTTTAATTACGTCCCATTTGTTTATTTTTGTTTTTATTTTCATTACTCTAGGAGGTGGGTCAAAAAAGTCTTGCTGTGGTTTATATCAAAGAGTGTTCTGCCTATGTTTTTGTCTAAGAGTTTTATAGTATCTGGTCTTACATTTAGGTCTCTAATCCATTTTGAGTTTATTTTTGTGTATGCTGTGAGGGAATGTTCTAATTTCATTCTTTTACATGTAACTGTCCAGTTTTCCCAGCACCACTTATTGAAGAGGCTGTCTTTTCTCCATTGTATGTTCTTGCCTCCTGTGTCATAAATTAGGTGACCATATGTGTGTGGGTTTATCTCTGGGCTTTCTATCCTGTACCATTGATCTATATTTCTGTTTTTGTGCCAGTACCATACTGTCTTGATTACTGTAGCCTTGTAGTGTAGATTAGTCAGGGAGCCTGATTCCTCCAGCTCCATTTCTTTTTCAAGATTGCTTTGCTATTCAGGGTCTTTTGTGTTTCCATACAAATTGTGAATTTTTTTTTTCTAATTCTGTGAAGAATGCCATTGGTAATTTAATAGGGATTGCATTGAATCTGTAGATTGCTTTGGGTAGTAGAGTCAGTTTCACAATATTGATTCTTCCAATCTAAGAACATGGTATATTTCTCCATCTGTTTATGTCATCTTTGATTTCTTTCATCAGTGCTTTATAGTTTTCTGAGTACAGATCTTTTGCCTCCTTAGGTAGGTTTATTCCTAGGTATTTTATTCTTTTTGTTGCGATGGTGAAAGGGATTGTTTCCTTAAGTTCTCTTTCTGATTTTTCATTGTTAGTGTATAGGAATGCAAGAGATTTCTGTGCATTAATTTGTATCCTGCCACCTTACCAAATTCATTGATTAGTTCTAGTAATTTTCTGGTGGCATCTTTAGGATTTTCTATGTATAGTATCATGTCATTTGCAAACAGTGACAGTTTTACTTCTTCTTTTCCAATTTATATTCCTTTTATTTCTTTTTATTCTCTGATTGCCATGGCTAGGACTTCCAAAACTGTGTTGAATAGGAGGGGCAAGTGTGGACACCCTTGTCTTGTTCCTGATCTTAGAGGAAATGCTTTCAGTTTTTCACCATTGAGAATGATGTTTGCTGTGGGTTTGTCACATATGGCCTTTATTATATTGAGGTAGGTTCCCTCTATGCCCATTTTCTGGAGAGTTTTTATCAAAAATGGGTGCTGAATTTTGTCAAAAGCTTTTTCTGCATCTATTGAGGTGATCATATGGGTTTTATTCCTTAATCTGTTAATATGGTGTATCACATTGATTGATTTGCATATATTGAAGAATCCTTGCATTCCTGGAATAAACCCCACTTGATCATGGTGTATGATCCTTTTAATGTGCTATTGGATTCTGTTTGCTAGTATTTTGTTGAGGATTTTTGCATCTATATTCATCGGTGATACTGGCCTATAGTTTTCTTTCTTTGTGACATCTTTGTCTGGTTTTGGTATCAGGGTGATGGTGGCCTCGCAGAATGATTTTGGGAGTGTTTCTCCCTCTGCAGTTTTTTGGAAGAGTTTGAGAAGAATAGGTGTTAGCTCTTCTCTAAATGTTTGATAGATTTCACCTGTGAAGCCATCTGGTCCTGGACTTTTGTTTGTTGGAAGAGTTTTTTTTTTTTTTTTTTGGTACGCGGGCCTCTCACTGCTGTGGCCTCTCCCGTTGCAGAGCACAGGCTCCAGACGCGCAGGCTCAGCGGCCATGGCTCACAGGCCCAGCTGCTCCGCGACATGTGGGATCTTCCCGGACCGGGGCACGAACCCGTGTCCCCTGCATCGGCAGGCGGACTCTCAACCACTGCTACACCAGGGAGGCCCCTGTTGGAAGATTTTTAATCATGGTTTCAATTTCATTACTCGTGATGGGTCTGTTACTCTTGGTTCTTATAGATCTCCCTGCTTCTGTGTTTGATCCTCTACCATCTGTTTTCCACACAGCAGCCAGAGTTTAAAATCCTAGACCCCCTGCCTAAAACCCACCAGTGGCTTCTGTTGTATTTTGAATTCAATCCAAACTCCTTCCCATTGCTTTCAGGACCCTTCCTCATCTGTCCATTCCTGACCTCACCTCCCACCACTTCCCGTTTATGTTCTCATTTATGCTTTTCCTTCTGCCTGGAATGCTTTCCCCAGCATGAATGTGGGCAGTTCCTTCTCATTATTCACATTAGCTCAGATTTCACTTCTCCAAGGAGTCTTCCTTTGCCACCCTATCTAAAGGTGCTAACCCCCTACCCACTTTACCCTACTCTCTATCACCCCATTTTATCTGAAATAGGTTATTTATTGTCTGAATTCTTGAGCCAGAAGGTAAGCGCCACGAAAGTAGGGATCTTGTGTTTCTTGCTTCTTGCTATTTATTTTATTACCCAGAAGAGTGTTTGGCAAATTGTAAGTGCTCAGAAAATGTTTACTAGATGAATGAAGTTGGAGGATGAATGTGGGGAACACAATTTCTGTCAGTATTATTCAGGGAGAAGAGAAATTGAATGAATTTGAATTAAATTGAAAGAAAACGTTTAGGGTATATGTTGCTGAAGCTACTGGAAGAAAACATTAATCTTTGATTTTTGTCAAGAAAGTAAGGGGCTCAACCTGCTACTGACTTTTGTTCTCCTTTTCTCAAAGGTGTCTTTGAGATTTTTGTTATAACTTCCCTGGTTGGAGGTGGCCTTCTTATTCTATTCATTCTGACGGTGGCATATGATCTCAAAAAACCCAAGTGAGTTTGTAGACAACAGTGTGGGCCCTCAAAATCGGGAGTGGAAAGGGGTGGAAGACACCATGGGTGGAAGAGGGCACACTGCCGTTAAAGGGTGTCCATTCATTTATTGAGTTGGTACATATGTATTGAATTTATTGTATGCCTTACACTGTGGCACATCAGAATTCTAACCAAACAGGAGGACTTGTACCCCCGACAGCGCTGTGCACCGGGCCTAGGACTTTTTGAAGCCGGGGAAAGGCCAGCTGCCCCACAGGCCTTGTCTTCTGTGTTCGGCATCTGAGACTAGAGTTGGGGAGAAGATCCTCTCTCTGTGCGTCTAGAGGGGACCCGTGGCAGCAGCAAGGGCCCTCAAGGCCACCAGCCTCTCTCCCAGGCAGAGCAGGGAGCAGGGTGCCCATGGAGTTAGAGCACTGGCCAGCGTATGCCCAGCACAGGCAGGTCCTTGCTTGTGGCGCGGTGTCGGAGGGCTCGCTGAGGGCCATTTGTCCTGCCTGCTCTGGCCACTGTAGGGAAGGAAGCTTGTCTTCAGGGTCTTGTGCTTTCTCTCTCCAGAGAGCCTCATTCTACCCTGAGGGTCAAGGGCTCTCTCCCCATTAGACCGCTCTCTCCAGAGTTACACAGTCGTGGGCCTTCTCTGCCAAGCAGCTGTGCTTAGTTATGGCCAGGCTAATGTCAACCTGAGTCAGCTTTGGGTTGTAAGCAAGTCATCAGCACACGTTCTCGTACATTTTGCATGTCCGACAAGCTCCCAGGTGGTACTGATGCTGCTGGTTGGGACCACACTTTGAGAATCACTGCTCTGAAGTGTGGGTGTCTTGTAAGGCTTAGAGTGTTACCTTTCCTGGGGAATAAAATCTCAAGGAAATGGCTCTGTGATCGTGTGATTTTCGGCATCAGGACCAGGGGGTGGAGATGCAGGGTGGGAGAGCAGGGAAGAGTAAGAAAAGCTTTGCCTGGGGAAAGGTCTCCTCCCATCACGTCCCATAGTTGACTTGCAATTTCACTCCCCAAAGTACTTTGCTTTCCCAGTTTCTGTCAGGAGGCTGTGAGCTTGCCCTTATTCAATAGGGAGCCATACGATTCCCTGCATCGAAGCCCTGCTCTTTGGCTTGGCCATGCAGTAGAAGTAAAATTCTTCTTGGACTCACTTCCTATTTTAAAATCTTATCTCTTATTAGCAAATGAAAGCACCTATGTTGGCCCAGTGTCCCCAACCCTGCTGAAAGCAGTATAGCCATGTGGCGTGGAGATGATTTAAAGGTAAACTCTCCTGTTTTTGTTAAGGAGATTGTTGAGCAGGCTGGTTGTGGGAGGTGGACGGGGTGATGGACTGAGGTTTGCATAGGGTTCACATAAAGAGAACTCGAGGTTAAAAAGTCCCAGGGAATGGCTGGCAGGACAGGTGGAATCAGCCTTCCTGGAATGACTTTGACCTCATTCTTTGGACAAGAGGAAAGGGCTTTACCAGGCTCATAGGACGCAGTGTTTACTGGGCATAAAACTGGTCCTATAAAGGGTGCCACGGAAGAGACACTGGCCCTACCCTTAAGGACCTGACTGTCTAATTAGAAAGCAGGAGAACCCAGCTATAAGATTGGAGACCATTTAAAAAGCAGCCAAGAGCAAGTTAATCTAGAGACCACCTGGGGACCCGAGGGGCCGCTAATGTGCATTTCTGTCCAGAGGCTGGGGCAGGCTGCATCAGATTGTTTTTCTCATATTGGAGACATTGGCAATGGGGTTTTCTAGGGAGTTATCCATAATAGAAACCTCCCATTTTCATACATTTTTAAATTGAAAACTGTTCTGAAATTTTAAGGTTTAATTTCTCGGTTAAGTAGAAAGAAGCCCAATCAAATATAACCTTTAAATCCTTGTTATTGAAAGACTGTTTCCAGTATTCCTTGATAAGGAATTTTTAATATTAGCCCCTGTTTCAACTCAGAAGTCTTTTTTTAACACGGACGTGAAAATTATTTTTATTATTTATTTAATTAAATTTTGGTTGTTTCTATTTTCTTCTCTATCATTCATGTGTTACCTTATTTCATTTCCTGCTTACCAAAAATTATTAAGAGAGTGAACTAATTCATAGGCAGTCTTGTCTGATGTCTAAAATGTTTTTTGAATCATCTGTAGGTCTGGCCTCTGTAGCAGTCACTTATTAATCACTCACTATACGCCAGGCAGTGAGCTAGGCTCTGGGGATACAAAGATGTCGGACACCACACCCACCAGGAGGCCACCTTTGATTTTCTGGTGATGTTGGACAAGTTATTTGTCTTTGTGATAATTCTAATTTTGATGCTTCCATCTTCACTGGGATTTTATGAGCATATGATTATGTGGAAAATAGCCTTGAGCTCTCTAGAAGAAGAAATTGTTTGAATACACTGCATTCTTCTCAGGAAATGGACCACTCTTGCTAACCTCCCATGGAAGGGCACCACTTCTGGCCTCTAAGAGGGGGGCTGGTCCAGAGGTGGGGCTTTGGGTGTCCCAAGCCTAATAGCTTTTGGCTACATCATATGTGGCCCCCAAATGACCATTGGGGTGTCCCTTTCTCTTTTCCAGGATAAGCTAAATCTGAAGGAGTTTGATGACTCTGTGAACACAGAAGAAGATGGGATTCTAAAACCATGTTCTGCCCCCAGTGACCTTATTGACAGGTTGGTGGTAAATTTTGAGAATTTTCTGGAAGTGGTTTCCACAGAGGAACCTGAAAAGGGTCAGGAAAATATCTTGGGAGGGGAAAAGAATGAGTACATGACCTCCCCATATGGGACTTATTGTCCCGCAGTTTCAGTCAAGATTCCACCGAGAGAATCGCAACACCTATGTTCTAGAACGCCAGAGGGGATCTGCTCAGAAGCCAAAGAGCATCCTCTCCCTCCTACCCAAGGTTTAGGGCCAGACCATCTCTGTGGGGAAGGAGCACCAAACCCATACTTGAAAAATTCAGTGACAACCAGAGAATTTCTCATGTCTGAAAAACTTCTAGACCAAACCCAAAGAGAAGTCTAAATGCCGCCACGGCTTGAATCCCCCTACGTCTCAGTGTGCATGACTCACAGAGAGAAGACTTGGCTACAAGAGCTTCCTTGGCGTCTCCCCATCCTGCTCGTGTTAGAGGAAGTTTCGCACACCCCCGAGTGACGCGTTGAGCTTGGTTGGCCCAGACGTGTAGCTTGCTTGAGAAGAAAGAATGGTGGACTTCCCTGGTGGCGCAGTGGTTAAGAATCCGCCTGCCAATGCAGGGGACACGGGTTCGAGCCCTGGTCTGGGAGGATCCCACATGCCGTGAAGTAACTAAGTCTGTGCGCCACAACTACTGAGCCCACGTGCCACAACAACTGAAGTCCACATGCCTAGAGCCCGTGCTCTGCAACAAGAGAAGCCACCGCAATGAGAAGCCTGCGCACTGCAACGAAGAGTAGCCCCCGGTCTCCGCCCGTGCACAGCAATGAAGACCCAACGCAGCCAAACATAAATAAATTAATTAATTAATTAAAAATAAAGACTTAAGGGCTTCCCTGGTGGCACAGTGGTTGAGAGTCCGCCTGCTGATGCAGGGGACACGGGTTCGTGCCCCGGTCCAGGAAGATCCCACATGCCGCGGAGCGGCTGGGTCCGTGAGCCATGGCCGCTGAGCCTGCGCGTCCGGAGCCTGTGCTCCGCAACGGGAGAGGCCACAACAGTGAGAGGCCCGCGTACCACAAAAAAAAAAAAAAAAAAAGATTTAAAAAGAAAGGATGGTGATCAGCCTGAGCACTTTGCAGAGGAAAAGCAGTTTATTTTCTTTTGTTCAGATAACAAGCTCTCGCTAAGGCCTCTGACGGATTGACTTGGAGGGGCAGTGGACACCAGAGGCGGACATATCTGGCCTTCCTGAGGAATTGGGCCATGGGCACAGTCTTTGCTGGGACCACTCCTCGCAGCTCCAAGAGAGACTTTCCCTGTTGCCAAAGAACAGTTGCTTAGTTGGCACTTGGGTGGTCTGCCAGGAGGCGAGGCTCTCTCCCTCCACCTTGACCTCCCTGGCTCCAGGCTACACCTCTGAGGTAGCGCTGACACCACTTTAGAGATTAAGTCTCTCTCTCAACATAGGGGTGGGAGGTGGTGTGGCCCTCCTGATGGTGTGCCTGAAATGCCTCATTACCCTCATTAAATCTCAAGTGTCTGTAGCAAAACCCCCGCCCAGGGCTCTTGCCCTTGGTCCACTGCATGGCTGGGGATGGAGGAACGAGGGAGGGCCTTGGCAGCGCGCTGGGGAACGGACTCTCGCTGGGCCGGCAGGTCCACACCACTGTCCAGACCACTGCCCCGCCCTGCAGACAGTTCCTGGAGGCCCTCGCTGCCCCTCTATCTTGCACCCAAGCCTGGGAATAGAAAGATACCAAAGACTGCAGCAGCTTTTTACAGGGACTCTGTCCCCTCACACTGGCTCAGAGCCCAGGAATGCTTACTAAACACACCCTTCAAAGACCTCTTCCCAGAAGCAGCTGAGCAGGGCCTGTGCACATGGAATGCTTAGCACCTGTGCTGCTCCAACACCAGGATTCCTCTGCCTTCGCGCGGCAAAGCCCAGGGCTTGCAACCATGACTGGAGCCTCTAGCTCCAGTGCTAATGGCAGATACCTGGGAACTTATGGCTGGCACTGGGCTCCTACCCTGAGCACAGTGACATCACGTGACTTCCTGACGTGTGGCTAAGACTCACCTGGCCATCAGGGGAGGTCGCTGAGAGCCTGGTGAGATGGGGGCAGCAGGGCACAGTGAGCCCGGCATTTGCCAGAGAGAAAGGCTGACAGTAATTTTCCTGAGTGCTTGAGAAGTCAGTGCTTGTGTAGCAGGCACAGACTTCACAAGCCACCGACTCGGGTGTGCAAAACCATCACTTTACTCTTCTAGAACTAAACTTAATTTCTGGCCCAAGGCCCTGGCCTTTCGAAGTGGCCATGGCCCAGTGCAATGATTTGCGTCGCCTCAGGTTTGTAACTCGGTCTCACTGGGGATTTTGTGCCCCGTCCACCCTGGGACTGGCTCTGAACGCCAACAGATGTTCAGGAGAGCAGCGCGGAGTCTGCTGCCCAGCGCTGGGCAGGGATGTGCCTCCCCGCCTCCCCGCCACCTGCCTCTGTCCTCAGCCAATGGCTGCATCCTTATCACAGGCACAAGCAGGGTGATGCTTTCCCAAAGCTCTCCTCGTTAAATCTCCAGCGTCTGTAGCACCCTCCCACCCCCCAAATTCGTCACTCCTAGTTTACAGAACAGCAACTACTGATAAATCAAGGAATAAGGGGGGCCTGGAGCAGGGCTCTGGGGAACCTGTGTCCTGGGAGTGGAAAGGGACCAAGCGAAGGGGATACATGGGGTCCCGGCTGTGGTGGGTTCTCTCCACCCTGATACCTCCTCCACCCCCGACTGTTGTGATGTGGGCACTTCTGTGAGCCGCCAGTCCCTCAGAGTTCCAGACGGGGCCCTTTCCACCTGCTTCTGATTTGTGAACTCACAGGAAGTCCTAGCTTGGTGCCCCAAAACTCCTCCCTCCCTCCTGTGACCCTCTGCCACCTCCAGCTGAGGGACAGTGCAGGGGGGCCGGAGGAGCCCCTCTAATCTTGTTGGTCTCACACCTGGGTGAGGCTTTTGAACCTGAAGTCCAAGAATTTGATGGCTGGGGAGAAGAAAAGGTCACAGGTGGCTTCTGTGAGTGGGTTTCAGAGATGAAGATGTTACCCTCTTCTCTCCTCCCCTTAATTATTCATTAAAGCCTGAATGAATAGTTTGCAAATACCACACCCTGGCCCTTCCTCTTTTCATTTCTTCTTCCCTTTTCTCACTTTCCTTCTTGCCTCCTGTCTTCTGCTTCTTTTTTCCCACAACTGCCAGCAGCTTCTCATCTTTTTAACACTTCCTTTTTTTTTTCCCTATTTCTTGTTTCTTTTCTTTTTATTCCTTTCTCCCCTTCCCATCAGCCCCGCTTGTATGATTTCCAAATTTACTTTTGCTACCTTTGAGGGCTAGGGAAATCAGGGTCCTCTGTTTTGTTCTAGACGGTCCAAGATAGTTTCATAGGAGTCAGCATCTCCTCTAGTAAGAGGGGCAGGAAGCCCAGAAGCGCATTCTGCAGGCCACACACTTCGCTCTCCAGAGCAGATCACAGGACATGGCCTAAAAGAAGGCAGTGGTGACCTTCCTCTCCTGGAATCGAGTCATGAACTGTCCCCACTCCCAGTGTCCTGCGCTGCCTCTGTGACTGGAGAAGGTCATCTGCGTTTTGTCTGTTAACTGTCAGAGAGACGTTGAGAGGACACAAACAGGAAAACTTGTGTTTTAGCAAGGTCATTAAAAACTGATAAAATTCCCGTTAGAGTTTTCTAGGGCTCTGGGAACCATGCAAACAGCTACGTTAGTGCCCTATCAATAGCCTTTCTTTTACAATAATATCAGGGGAAAAAATGTTAAAGAATGGCAGAGAAGCCAATCTGTGGTTAAAAAAGAGAGATGATACCTTCATTCTTTCTCGGGTGGCTACAGTAAAACACAGTAAAAGCACCAGGTCGGGGGCGGGTCCGGGTGGGGAGGGGCGTGGCTTGAAAAGGGCCCCAGCCGTCCCCAGGCCGCTCCTACCTCTTGCGGGGAAAGCCCGTGCGGCCTGCCGGGCGCGCACGCAGCCCGCGCCCCACTCACTGCTGCCGCCGCAGGCACGCTTCAGCCCAGGGCTCAGCCAGCCAGCCCTCAGGCCCAGTCTGGGCCCTGTTTCTGTGGGCCCATGAGCCAGAAATGATCCTGACATTTTGAAAGGCTAGAAAACGAAATGAAAGGAAGAATAACGTTTTAATGAGGTGTGAAAATTCCATAGAATTCAAATTTCGGTGTCTACCGGTGAAGCCTAATTGGAACACAGCCACGCCATCCTTTATGTGTCACCCGCGGCTGCTACCCACAGACAGAACTGAGTAGTAGCTGTGACACAGAGTTTCTCCTACAGAACCTAAAATGATCACCATCTGGCCCTTTACAGAAACAGTTTGCTGGCCCACCCCTGTGTAGCCCACAGACATGGGGCTCAGACTGCACAAAGCACTTTAACTTGGAAATGGTTGCTAATGAGAAAAAAAAAATCAGACTGTGTCATCCTGGGTTTCTAACAGGATAGGGACGGCCCGCTTAGAGGGGCACACATCCCTGGCTCGCCAGAGCCCTCGCAGTCGCTGTCCCTGCTGCCCATAGCCAAGCTGGAGACTTGATGGCTACTTACCACTCACTCCAGTGGTCCTTGACCCAGGTCATTTTATCTCCCATCCCCCAGCCGTCACATATTTGGCAATGCCTGAGGATCCGAGCTAACCTCTGCCCTGGGCCCACGTCCCTTGCCATGGGTGCTGTTCAGCCTCCATACAGAGCTCTAGGTGGCACTCTTTTTTTTCTTTGTAAATTTAAATTTTGTTTTGGATTCAACTTTACAACAACATCGACGGCAAAAATCTCGTAATACCAACTATTTATATCATTCTTAATTCACGCCTGATATGATCTGTGTGTCCCTGTACATGTTTTCATCTACTGCAAGTTATATATTGATTCGATTGCAGTCTCCCTTTACTGTCACTTATTATTTCGTGTGTAAAATTCCATGTATGAATATAGCTCATGGTGGCTACACAGAACCCCTCGGTGTACCTGCGTGTTGTGGCTTGCTAAGAATTGTTTTAAACGTCCTCTTCGTATAGAGAGACACTTTAGGGAACTTCGTTGCACAAAATTTTCTTTTCCCACCTTTGTCCTCACTCCTTGGGACTGTTTCCAGAGGTAGAATGGCTGTGTCAGAGTTTTATGGTTACTGCATGACTGTGCCCCCGTGAAAGCTACACTGATTTGCAATATCACCAGACACGTCTGAAGTATCCTTTGTCCTTTTCCACTGGTCATCAGCTCTTCATTGCTGTTAATTGGATTTTGTCAATTTACTGGGTATGGTCAATGAAACTTCATAGTTATTTGTGTTGCTTAAATCATTATGA